AACCAAACTGCATCTCATCCACTTCCACTAATTTCCGGATTCTATTCACTATCACCCTCTCCACAATTTTCATTGCATGCTCTAATAGGGAATAATAATAGGGAATTTCTGGTGAGTGTACAATTAATGTGGACTTTTTGTTAACAGGGTTATGGTGTTGGTGCTAAAGACAGTAAATCATCAGGCAATATTAGCAATACTAATTTAATAAAAAGGTTTAATCATCATAATACCAGGGTACTTGGTGTCTCAGAAAAAGCTGGGTAAGTATGCTTGCCCAATATACGTTGAGACTTACACTTGATTATGTAATAAGGCACACCAGATATGAATAGTGAAGGATTCCATTAACTATATTCTTGTGGATTGGCATAGAGTGTGATGGTATCATTTCCTTTTGGAAAACCTTGCTTTCTCATAAATGTTAGATTTGTATATATTTATTTTTTTAAATTTGCATTCTAGCATCTGTGATTCAAACTCTATATGTCTCCCTCTTTTCCCTTCCATTGTTGCTGTTTGGATTTTTACAGTACTAGTATACAAAGTAGCAGCATTGAATCACAGCCAAGTACAAGTACAGGCAGCTCTTTGCCAAATAAAAACAATTCTCACATTGCTAATAACCAATCCAATGGTAGGAATATATCGTCAGTGAACTCAAATACAACTCAGGATGAAACTGTGCCCTCAAAAAGGATGAGGATAAAAGAAGCTATTGAATATGAGGATTTAGTGCCAGAGACTAGACCTCCTGCTGTGATGTTGAACTTAGATAAAGCTGAACGATACCACCATGGACCCATGCCGGTCAGTAAAATGGACTATGCAACAACGGAGGAGATGATAAATGCTACTCAAGTCATCAGGGAAGACATGGCACAAGCTAAGCCAACCCTCTTTCAGGTAGGAGTTGTGTGCAATTCCGTCTTTTCATCTTCATGTTTTCGTCTATTAATTCACAGTCCTTCCACTGTGATTAATTCAAAGTAAGTTTATGTTGGAATCAACAGAATTATTTGAATAGGTCTGTGCCTGCCGAATTGCAGTTTGATGTACACATACAAATGTTTTCTGTGTATTGAAATCTGACCTTTCATTTCTTTGTAGACTATTCATGGTAGTGTTGCCAGTAGTGTTGTCAGTGAATTATCACCAGGGGGAAGTCTTATGCATGGTCTTGGTCAACAACCATTACATCGTAAGTTTGTGTCTGTCTGTTCCAAGCACACGCAGATAATATAAATCTAACCTTTTTGCAAATCACTGTGAGGGCACATTTTGTGTGAAAACATTCAGTGGAGTAATATTTCTTTATGAGATTTCTTAACATCATCAAAACAAATTCTACAGAAAATGCCCTTCTGTGACCTATATCTTTCAGGGTATTTGTAGAGATTGTCATAGTTGTGTAACTGAACAACGTTCAAAATAGAAAATAGATTACGAAGATTTTCCTGGCTGGTAGCTTCATTAAATTTTCATATTATTCAGAGCTTTATAGTCAAGACATTCAAGTCGAGATGAAAAACATGTACAGTGCACTCTGTGAGCTTCTGAGGCATTTCTGGAGCTGTTTCCCGGTCTCTTCAAAATTCTTGGAAGAGAAGGTGACGAGAATGAAAATAAATCTTGAACGGTTCCAAACATCCAAGTTGCAACCTTTCAGGGAGAAATTAGCCATGCAACATTTTAATGTGAATGTAAGTATGAATAATGTTGTCTCTGGGGGCTGTTAAGATCTTATATTTGTGCAATAATTTACTTAATAGATCATGCCATTCTAATTTAACAGTTTAAATTAGGTTTTCTGAAATGAATATTTAGTGCTTAACATCATTGAGTATAACCACATGATGTAAATATGCCATAAGGAATTATGAAAAAACAATTAGCACTAATGTCGCATGTTTGTAATCAAGGGAAATAAAATTGTGTAAAGAGAAAAAAAAAAAATGTCGCATTTTAAAATTGTATTTTTTGGCAAAAGCTCTTTCAATTGTGAGTAATTTTACCAAAAAACAAATTTGAAAGTTACTGTGTTTGTGAGTTTTACTGACGTATTGCACCATTTATCAACTGAGTTATTATTGTCTTGAGCACAATAAATTCAGCCATGCATTGCTGTTAGAATTCTATTTGAGTGTGTACTAAATGCAGCTAACTGGGAAGAATGTAATGTTCAAAATTCCCTCAAAGTCAGGGGTAACATAATTAAAATAGTCATTCTGTGAATATAAAGGGGACGAACCTTACTAATCAACAGATAGGTGTGCATATCAGACTAATCTTAATGGAAAATGTGTCATGTTGAATATTGATTTTGTATTTCATCTTCGATCATCCAACAGAGAATCCTCCATGCCATTCAGTGACTTGATGGCATGCTGAAAAGCTGAAAACGCATTTACAACCAAAGCAACAGACCTTCTCAGTGATATTCAAATATTAGCAAGAAACTCCTGATACGAATATGTTGCGAACACCAAAACTGTTACATTTATCATACTAGGTTTATTACCTACTTCACATGCAAACAAATTTCAAATTCAATTTTGCTGACAATACAACTTCATTACAACAGGTATTACAACACTTAATTTGTGTGTAGTTTTGTCGACTTTTAGATTCTGATCTTCATTTCATTAACATTATTTTAACACTATATAAGTTCACTGTTTCCTGCAAGAATACTGGTAAACTGGACCCACACAAATGTCACATCTACTTGATGTTATATTTTGTAATTTTTACAGCTAATAAACCACATGGAAGAACTTTTGGAAACTGCTTATGGAAAGTTCACATCCTGGCAAGCCAGAAGAATGGGATCTATTGTAAGATAACCCAAGATGAAGATCTTGACTAGAAAAGTTCACACATACAGTGAAAGTAATCACTCAGCATGCTCAAGATACTTGTAACTTTGATTGTTGCAAGAAATCAGTGACTACCATGGAAACGCACAAAGTGAATTTACCATATATGGCAAATCGTGGATGTGTAGACTCAATCTTTATAAGCTCAATTTCAAGTCAGGGCTATTTTGTAACTCTGGTAAATCTATTGATACTTGTGTATTAATGAATAAATGGTCGAATGAAGATGCCATGTTCAAACATGAAAGTTATCAGTGCATATTAATATATAGCCATGTCGTGTTATTATTGATATTATCTCATGCTGTTTATTTACCATTTATTACTGAACAAGACGTCATAAATTGTACAATACCTCCATGCAGCATCTAAAGATGAAGCCACATTTTGATTGCTCTTAGATATCACAAATATTCTCATTGTTTCCGTGATACCTAATAGATGCAGTGGCACATTGATAACAATTATGTGATCAGATTCCAGTTACTGCACCATCCTGACTCCTCTAAGTACTTCAGTCGAGTCAAAGCACAAGGTGGAGAAACCTGTCAACAAACAAGCTGCTCTCTGATTGGTCTGACTGCTAGTGTTGGGTAACCAATCAGGCTCAAGCTTGTAGGTAGCTTTGCATTGCCACCGTTACTCTTGTGCTATAATCATTGTCTCAATATTCTCCCAATGATGTATTGCCCCGATTGCTTCTGACCAATAGCAGTTGAGGAACTAGTCACATGTCAAGGTGTATGTGATTGATGTGTAACATTTCTAGTCTGAATTTCAGAATTTTTTTTTTTTTTTTCTACTGCCATGTAAGTACACATTTTGTAATCAGTATGAATAACAAAGAAATAAATTTCATACATTTTACTTGATCTTTGATGTTCGTCTTGCTGATTGTGTTGTGATTGTGTTGTGATTGTGTTGTGGTTGTTGTGAAGTGTGCTTTATATGTGTACTATACACTTTGTATACATTATATGGGACTAGGTATTGAACAATATTCCACCCAAAGGTGAGGTATACTGTAGTAGAACATGTTGAAATTGCTGCATGCATTTTTAGTGGATTTGACTCTTGGCATGAATTCACAGAATCTTAATTTAGCTAAAGTGTTGACTATCTCATTGTGAGAATATACTTAAATTACAGATTACATGTACCTAAAATGACATGCTAGCTAAAGAGAAATGTTTTACAGTATATCTATTCTAACAGGTGCTCACATTTGTCATGTGCTAGCAATAATTTTGAGTTTCTTTCATTCAATATTGTTTTGTTTATATAAACATTTAAGTTTGTCACCTACACAAAATAGAAAACAAGGCAAGCTGAAAATGTATAAATTATCTAATTAAAATGCACCTATTAAACCAAAACCATCTGTACAAACAGCAGGTTCGGACCCCCCCCCCCCCCCCATTGAAAGATTTATTCAATTTGTTTTTGTATAATAGTCTGGTGATGTTAAAGTTTGGACCCCCCCCCCCCATAAAAAAAATCCTGTATCCGCCCCTGTTAATCATGATTCAGTTTCAGTTTCAGACTTTTACAATGTCTGTATGATTATTTCTGTGACAAAATAATACATAATTATGCGTGTGTAGGCTGTAATATTATTTATATTGTAAAGAAAGAAACAGTTCAAATATTGCCACCATGCTTTAATTGTTATTTAATTCAAGCAGTTCTCGAATTGTTTTCGAAAATTAAAACATCATGTACTTTAAATATATAAAAATCTGTGAGTGGTAGTCTTCGTGATAACACAATATTTGAACTGTATGCAGTCACTGTTCATCAATCTACACCATCTCATTACAATGCTTGTATCAAAGCTCCAGATGGTAAATGGTGTAAATTTGATATTGACAGTGTGACAATATTTTATAATGCAGATGCAGTTCTCACTGAAGTATATTTACTATTTTATCTGTGAAAATTAGGCACTAATGTTTTTGTAAGATAAGTATATCAATCATGCAGGTTTTGTGGACTGCTTCTCCACTGCTGTTTCAATTCCAAAACTTGAATGTATTCAAAATTAATTATAATGATGCATATTTATATTAAAACAAACTATGATAAATGAAATATTATATAACAAGGGGAAAGGTCACCATAGTTTAACTATGTTTTTTATTCTGGTGCCTTGTGTACACATTTGTTTTTTATTGAATATGACAATATTTTAATCTTGCAACACCTCGCATGCAGTTGTTTTTCCCTTTGTGTCTAGCCCCATGGTCGACCACTAATGAGAGAAGTATTTCCGGGATATATTCAGTGTCTCAGACTGAAGATAGTTTTTTTTAATTTTAATTGTATGCAATGATATTCCCACGTTGAAATAAAAGCAACTGAATATCGTCATCTTGATTAGAAATCCAAGAAAAGATCACACTCTCCGCCGAAAGCATCGTAACACCACAGTCACTCTACTAGTAACACAAGCGAAACTGTGATTGTGACAACCTTTGTGTTGTTCAATCTCGAACGAAGAGGGCGTGTCGCAAAGCACGATGGGAGTGCGAACTGTAATTTGACCTTTTTTGTCTTAGCGTCGACTCTAATGTTGGTGTGGTTATTTTTTTCGGCGAATGCATAACGGTAAGGCTAATACTGATGTTTAACTGTTAAAAATGAGTACTAAATAGTCAGTTTTAAAACCGGAGTGATTGCATGGTTTATTCACAATTCTTACTTATAAATATGAACGGGTTAAAACCGGATTTCGTTGTTGTCCGCTGTAGTGTACTGATGACCCGTAATTGATCTTAATTGATCGTGATATATGGAAATGGGTAATTTCAGCTCTGAATCACGCGGCTGCGTTTGTTTGTTAACGTTTTGTCTTCATGGTAGTTAGTAGAATCGCAATTAAGGCTTTCATTTCCCAGAATCACAGTCACGCTTGTGTAGCAGCTTTTACAACTATGTAAAGACCCAATTAATTTTCAGTAAATATTTATGCATACTGATCACCTAATATGCATAATTAATCAACTTTCACACTGATATCCCAAGTACTAATCATCACATTTCAATTTCCTAATTTGCATAATAATTCCTAATTTTTTGGTTCTAACCACATTTCAATTAAACTTGGTACATAGATGGTCTGTTACATTGCACATATTAGTTTTACACTCAAATCTGTTCATATTATTATCTCAAGTAATTGTGAATTAATTTTGAATGTGTCTTCAATACATTCAACTTTTTTAAAATACTGTATGCATCATGGGAGAATGAACACTATTGGGATTCCGATTGTAAATTTTAAAGTCTTTGTGATACACTGCCATTAACACATCATTCCCACAGATAGCAAATATGTTTTACAAATAAAATTCAATATTTTTTCACATCAGTTGATCGAATGAATTGTATATCAATATTGTTTATTAAACAGTAGTTGAATGTATGCCATCTCATTCCGAATTCATTTTCTTTTCTCTTTTCTGATTATCTAGTATACATTAATATCCAGTTCAAGATACTAAAATGCCGCGACTCAAGAAAAAAAGTGCTGCATTAAGGCGTATGCGTGGTCGTAAATACATGCAAGAACAGAGAGCGAAAAAAAAAAGGTAAGTATCCTAACAAGAGCATTAGATCAAACTATGTCGCCATGCAACACTTATATAAAATCTGAATTGGTTACTGTAAAACATGTCTTTTTCGCGAGCATGTCTTTTTCACGAATTTAGCAAGAGAACTGATTCGCTAATTCAAAATGTCGCTAATGACTTTATTATCAATTCAAAATGGCCGCCAAACAAAGAAATCAACAATGACAAGAGAGATTCGCTATATCAACATTTCGCTATTACGTCATTTTACCACAATTCGCTAAAATTGCATGCCGCTTTTTCAACATGTTTTACAGTATTATATAATTATTATATGTTGTTGTCATCCAAAGCCATTTCTCAGACCAGCCTCATTGAATACATTCATATCATTGAGGATTTTTCGTTAAATATTTTTTATCTGCTATCATTTTAGTCAACTAATGCAAGAAATGATGGAGAAACAAGTTAGTGATGGGGAGAAGAAGATACAGGGTGAGGGAGTTGAAGAAACACAGAATTATGATGAAACTGCGAAGGCAAATGAGCATAAGACCCCATTGGATTTTGATTTCCATGTAAATGAGGTGAAAGTACAGAGCATGTATGTGGCAGGGAATCAAGACTCTGATGTGGATAAGGAAAAGAGGATCCAAGCCATGGGAGTTCTAGAAACACATGATTGTGGTGAAGTTCATGTTTCAGAGCACGAGGTAATGCAGGACAGTGACAGTGATCTACCGGTAGATATAAATGAAAAGGTACTGAGCATAGCAGAGAATCAAGGCTCTGCTGTAAATAAGAATATGACACAGGAGTTGGAGGATGAAGAAAAACATGTAAATAAAGAGAAGATACAATGCATAGATGGGACGGAGAATAAAGACTGTGATAATGTACAATCCACAAAGATGGAGCATGAATATGAATATGATGAAATGAGTACATCACAGACTATAAATGAGATTCCAATCTTTGAGGAGAATGCAGAAATACAGGTTGTTGATGATCTGAAGAAGCAAGGCAGTGATGCAGGTATGGAGACTGAGCAGCAAAAAGACTGTGATACAGTCACATATGAAGAGATGCTGGCTGAAGAAGAAGAAGAAGAGGAGGAGGAGGAGGTGGTGGAGGAGGAGGAGGAGAAAAAGAAGAAGAAGAAGAAAAAAAGACAAAAGCATGATATAGATATGAAAGTACAAGACATAAAGATTGAGAACATTGAGGATACTGATATTTGTGAGAAAAGTGTTGAAAAAACATCTTCAAGCAATAAGTGTAATAAGAAAAGTAATAAAAAGGACACCTCAAAAGCAACAGGAGAAAAGAAAACAAAGAAAAAGGAAACATCATTTGAATGTAACGAGTGTGGTAGAGTCTTTGCTCAGAAACCTACTTTAAAAGTTCATATGCGAATACACACTAAAGAAAAGCCATTCAAATGTGAAGAATGTGGCAAGGCGTTTACTCACAGGAATACTTTAGCAGATCATAAAAGAATACATACTGGAGAAAAACCATTTGAGTGTGAGTCATGTAAAAAATGTTTTGGATCAAAGTCAAATTTGAGAAGTCATTTATTATCACATAACACTGATGTAAATAAAAAATTCAAATGTGTAATGTGTGAGAAAGCCTTCACGCAGAAGTTCCATTTAACCATCCATTTTCGTACTCACACTGGTGAGAAGCCCTACCAGTGTCAAATTTGTGGGCAATGCTTCAGTACAAGTAATAATCTAAAGTTGCACACTCGAATACATAATGAAGTACGAGAAAAACCACATCAATGTGAAGAGTGTGGTAAAACATTTGTAGACAAGACTGGACTCAGAGTACATAAAAGGACTCACACTGGTGAAAAACCATTTCAGTGTGAGCATTGTGGAAGGACTTTCACACAAAAAAGCCAGCTCGATGGTCACAAGGCTATCCATTCAGCAGAACGGCAATTCCAATGTGAAATCTGTGGGAAGGCCTTTAAAAAGAAGGTATACTTGAGAATGCATCTAAGAACCCACACTGGTGAAAAACCCCATAAATGTGAATTTTGTGGGCGATGTTTTACACAGAGAAGCATACTGACCCAACACTTGAGAACACACACTGGTGAGAAACCTTTTATTTGTGATCAGTGTGGACTGGGATTTGTACAGATGGGACACATGAAACAACACATGAAAAAGCATGCAAAGGAATTTCTAAAGCCTTGATAAAAATTCTGCTTGTAATCTAAAACTTCTCGTAATCCTCAAAACTCTTCTCAGCTACTGAGCACAGTAGCGGGTATGTTTATATTTGCTTTCCATTGATGGAAACCCTAAATATAATTGCATTTGTAATAACCATATTTTTATGGATGCTGTGTTACCTGTATTTAGAGACATTACTAAGAATTAACGTTTGTGTGATTTTTTTTTTTTTTTTTTTACTTGTATGTGCTATTGGAGAAATGCACGACTTTTTAGTTTCTGACTTGCTTGGAGTAGCATGCATTTACCACTCACAAATTGAGGTGAAACTAAGCTATGCAGTGTCTGCTATAACTTGTCATATTTGGTACAGTTGTACATGCATTTTTAACAATCTAACTCTTCTATTAACCCCTATTTTTTGTAAAATAGTTCATAGTGTGCTTCATATTTACATCTTAATTAATCGGAATCTTAATATATGAAATGCGAATATCTCATCTCTGCTAATGTACATAACATTATGGGGTGTTTGCATTGGAATTATATTAATATCATTAGGTACTAGTATTTGCTTTTTTAACGCTAGAATATAATATATGATACTCCCCTATTGCATGTTTTAAGTTGTGAACAAAAGTATGGAATCCATATCTATTTTGGATTCAAAGCACAAATTGGGATCTTGCCTGTTCTCTAATAGTGTTTGTGATCAACCATGTTCTACTGACACCTGTTTATGCAACTATAATATTCTTGAAGGCTATTAAAAGAAAAATTTATTTTATGAACTCGTTCCTAGTGTCTTATTAATTTGTAGATGGTTAAGAGACGATTACGAGTACAGGGGTAACTGAAGCCTGTAGGGTTGAAGAAGTTTATTAGAACTTTGGGGTTGTGATTGTTGTAAACTCCCATAGGATTGAAGCCCCCCCCCCCCCCCCCCCCCGAGAGGTAGGCGTTCAAGTTGCAATACTTAAACGCAGTATCTCCTCAACATACTTACAATTTACTGTTACAATTACAACTGTTCAAGATTTAGGCTCCAAATTAAACTTTTGGTTTCAAATTTGAAATATTACATGTATGCTACTATAAACCACTGTATTGTTCGTGCAAATTGATATAATATACAGTGGTTTATCCTGTGTGTGGGCATGTGGCTGAATCTTTCAGCACGGACGTGCTTTGTATATGCACATGTATTTCTTTCACATAGCTGCCATTTTTATCTTAACTGTTTTATAATAGATGTACAAAAAGATTTGCGAGGGGAAAATGTCTGTCTTCGTTGACTCAGTGTTGTAAATTTTTTTGTGGCTACAATAACTACATTTTTTAAAAATCATTTTCAAATGTGGGTACATTAATACCCGATTTTGGCCAAATATAATTGTTGCGTGCCTTTGTATTTAAGCATGTGTATTTAAGATATTGGTGAATATTTCACTTAAATTGTCTTGTTTCATTAACTCAAAGAATACTTATCATCTTCAAATCTGGTTTCACTTGGTTTGTGTCTTTGTGATTTCGTCTGGAAGGGTGCAATAACTACTACCGTAGTATTCTGGGCCATGTCTGAATATTTTTTGGTGTTATCATCAAATTTCATTGAAATTGTTAGTTCTTGAGAAATGATGGAAAATTGGTCTGCAAATTAACCCAGAGCATCTATGTACTCATCGAAAACTAATACTTGTAACTGGTTCTTGAGATATCAGTGGAATACACATGTGCGCACATACTAACCGCAAAGAATCCCATTGTGTGCTTCACAATGGTAGTCAAAAATCACACATTTTTATCAATCCTAATCGTTTATGGAAGAATTTGGTTTAAATTTGGCACATACATTAACACAATTGGACCTTGATACATTTTTTGTGTGCATTTTTGGGGTTTAAAAATGGCTGATTGGTATTAAAGAATGTCGTTCCGGATCCATATTCCTGACATACAAGATTACATTCCAACTTTTCCCATCAGACATGCATAATCGTCCGAATCGCACTGTTCTGTGTCTTCGACCTATCGGTCTCTACACGATATCGTGTGGGATCGCATAGGATAATTGCGTATCTTAAGCAGTGAGATCTGATTGGGCACACCTCGAAACAAGGCGCCCAATCAGCTTGGACGTACCAAATTATAAAACAAAATTCCACTTCCTGTTTTGTCGCTATGAAGTTATCCTTCCCACACAAAACTGTGTCGATTGCATGTGCATGACGAGGCTTGAGGGCACCAACACCAACAACTTTTGCAATTTTATCACAAATATCACGATTAATGGGCGCCGCCATTTTGTTTAAAATGAAACGCCAAAAAAGAAATTTGCAACACGCAAACTGATTGGACAATGATTAGCCACAACTGACTACTGGGGGCGCTGTTAGAATACGCATATTTGATGGTAGTTCTGCCAAGGTTTAGAGGCTTGGCTGAATAGACTTAGACCTTGGCTAGGGAAGATGGCCATGCATATACAGGAGCATTTTTGCATTAGTAAGGCTAAAAATGCATCAAAATCGCATTTTCACCACACTGGATCTCAGTTGTGTGAACAGATTTAATTCAAACTTAGAATATACATTGATCACAATGTGACCTTATTTCGTTCTGAATGATTGTTAGCCCCATGTAAATGTACTTTCACATTGACTTGACTATATAATGTATTATTTCATAATAAAGTGCCAGTTGAGCAGTACATCCATTTTTTATTTTGATAGATGCTACTGAGCTATAATTTTAGTGGATAGATGGCATCAGTTGAATTGGAGGAATTTTCAAGGAACAAAAGTGCATTTTTGTTCCTTGAAAATTGTTACTGTAAGTTACGAACATAAACACTTAAAAGCAAATCTGTACATATTTATTTAAAATTGCAAAAATATGCAAACAACTTATATTCAGTAAACATCTACAATGGATGTCAATGATAGAATGTCTGGTGAATGATTCAAATAACTATCTCCACTGAGATACAATAGCCTATATAATGCTAGTGTGTGAACATGAGTGAAAAATACTACATTCCAGGAAAATTTAGTACACATGATTACAAACCATATCACAAATAAAGTAAAATCCCTAATTTGTTATGTTCGTACATAAAAATTTTACGATAATATTTCTGAAGATCTCATCTTGTTTCAATATTGCATTTTCTTCTGTCATCCCTAAATTATCTGGCAAAGGGATACATGATTACAATATTGGTGTGCTAACTGAATACTCCAATAAGACAACCACAAATGTAAATTTACAATTATTACATATATATATATAGCAAAAATGAATAATTTTTGTATTCATAATTCTCTGCAAGCTTGTGCTGTTGAAAGTTAAAGTCTTAGAAGTTAAATAAAAAATAAAATAAAATTGTAATTTTCTAATATTAAGTTAATGAGATGGAAAAAGTGGAACGCTTAGCACCATCTACCGACTATGATGTTTACACATTCCTTAGATGCATAACTAACACAGTTAAATGTAATACTGCTTTTGTTAAAAGTAAATCTTGCTCTGTGTAAAACCTGCTTTCCCCCCTGAAAAGTATCACCGGTGGTCAGTCCTGGAAGTTCTTGGGTGGTGTCCACTATTATTTTTCACTTTTGTACCAATATTAGAACTACTGCTACTACAGCTACCACTAAATTTCATTTTAGTCTGGTCAGGCAGTTTCTTGCCTTGATATTTTTTAACATATCCTTCCACTAGATTGCGTACTTTAACTGGGTTAATTACTCCACTTTTGCTGTGGCAAATCTGAAAAAGAAGGAGATATTTGTAAAGTTAGGGTACAGCACAGGCTAGAGCTATTAATACATTAGATCATTTTTTATTTTGACATGTTCCATTTATCACCTCGGTGTGAGATGCAACAGAATTATTCACACACACTTATATAACATTTGAATGATACAAGGATAACATTTTTTGAGACATCAATTCATGCTCACACTCCCAAAGGAAACCTTGAAATTACATGTATGTACCACTGTTCCTCTATATAGAGTGATATAGGGACTGTGTATGTACAAAGTATATCGGTACATACAGCAATCAATCTTCAAACTTTTTGTACACATTGGATGAAAACTGCAGAAATCTGTTCAGCAGTTTGCAATTGCATCAATTATTTTTTGAAGAAATAAATCAAATTATGATCCATTAGTTGCAATGAAAACCACTAAGATTTTGTTGCTGAGTTTGCTCTGGATGATTAGAACTACACTGTACTTCAAAATATTGTTGATTACCGTTAAAATCCTATTATAAACCGCATACCTAATAGTAACCGCACCCCCGATTTCGGCTTCAGTGTTAAAGAGTTCTCAACAAAAATTGAAAACATGAAAAGTACCTATTACTAACCGCACCCCCAATTCAACAAGACAGTGACCGACTTTGTTTCAACGAGCTGGTACATTGTTCCTAATCCTATTCATTTGTTTCGACAACGTGCCTAAAAATATTCACACCTCTTTATTGTTCAGTAGTGTTTAAGATGTCAAACACACAGTGGAACTGCTTTTGTCTTGTGACAACTTGTGTCAATACTCCTTATGAATACGTCCGTGTGTCGCAAGTTTTCGACAATGAGCTGTTCTCACCGAAAAACTGGTACTGTCAGACTTTGTCTACAGTCCTAACATATTTACACATGACAATGTTAATATGTCTAGACTGCAAATCTACAGTTACTCAACAATATTTTGACACAAAATAGGTAATAACAACATCTTGTTATTCTAACTCTAAAGCGAATGTTAATTGGTTGTTTTCTCATGAATATTATAAAAAATACTGCCAATGTTATGGCTGGCAATGATGCAGCAACATTCGTAATGTTGTGGTGTACTTTAGGGCACTGCATGTGAGTACTATTATTGGATCTACAAGGTAGTGCAATATATTACCTTATTAACTGCTTTTCTCAGGATGGTTTTGTAATCATTTTTATCGATTAATTTCTTTTGGTAGAAAGGTTTTATTGCCAGCTTCACTTCTTCAACCACCCTTTCTTGATGCTGAAGCTTTTGTAAATACTGAAAACAAATTCAGGAATAATGCAAGATAAGTTTGTTTTACCACAGATACAAATTTTCCAGGTTGTCATAAATTGCATGACAATGTTTGTTGGTTCGTTATGTACAATCCCATGATATACAATCCCAGAGTACAGTTCCACTATAACAAGAGACTGCATTTTTGTGTTTTATATCCCCATATTTAGAGAAAATTGGCCAAATATTATCCAAAATTTATATAGAAGTCAATGTGAAAGCAATATTACAGTTGTTGTCACTTTTAAAACACAGATTTTTGAAATAATTCAAGATAAAAAAAAATCGCCCTAGATCACTTCAGACAATGAGATACACAATGTAGCATTGTATCTCCACCATAGGAACTAATAGTAAAAACTCTGCCTAATACTGACAAAATTGCCACCATTCACTAAAATACTATCATTTGCAAAATAGGCTAGTTACCCTAACACGTGTACTGCTAGTGCTTATACCAATCTCGGTCATGTGACCTATTATTCTGGCCATACATGTTCATCCCCGTAAAGCTACACATCTGTCTTTATGCAGATAGTAAACCACTACGGTTGTATTCATATGCCGAGGGGGTAATCACAAAAGTTAACTTGACATAAATTGTAAATCACTATTGTAAATCAGCCCTTGCTCTTTGACCAAGACAGTGTAGCTTTAGTCAAAGTATAAATATGCTGTGTATGGGGCAGAGCAGCTGTTTTTTTTTCATTGTGATAGCCAGTAATCACAGTAAGTCGGTAATGGCAACTTATTACCTTGTGCATTTACAAGATTCTAACCACAACTGTGATGTTTACAATCATGAATACATTAATTCATTTGATTACTCATACATAAACCTTATGAGAAACGTCAGTCTTGAATTAAAAATAATATGAAAATGATACATACCCTTTCACGACTACCTTTGTTATAAAGTTCAACTGCAGATGATTCAACATCTTCTTCAATGCTTGGCATGACTTCTAATTTGCCTTCATCACTATCTGGAGACATATCAATTTCCATGTCAACAGTTTCTATGGATTCAGCAGGAGGTGAGGCAGGTCTTGTTGCAGTGGGTGGAGGTGGTGTCATTTTTGCTTTTCCCTTTGGACTGTTTATAAGAGTGTTTGTTTGCTTAACAATGTGATGACTTGGCAGAATGCTTGTTGCAGACGTTTGTTGAGGGGGAACAGATCCATAGGATCCAACAAATGCACTCCCAATGTTTGTACTTTGCTGTGGCCTAAACTGATCTGCATTTTGTTGTTGTTGCCTCTGTTGCATAAACTGATTTCCCAACTGATTTTTTTGACTGACAAGAGCTGGCAGTAAATTTAACAATCTCACTTGGTTCATAAGAGGATTACTCATGTTTCCAGAGAAATTCAATAACGGTCGTATTCCAGGCCGAGGAACTGGCATTCTTACTATATGCTGTAAATTTAAAGGCACTCCAGTGTTTGCTAAAATCTGTTGTATATTTGGTCTCAGACCCATTCTGGGTGCCAATGGCTGGTGTGGGGGTGGCGGACGAACACCAACAAAGTTAAGTGCATTTACATCAGAAGGGACAAGTGGCGGCACACATGCAGCCACATTCTGTTGTGGCCCAGTTTGAGACGGCAATTCAAAAACATTTTTAGTCATACTATTAGCATGTACAAGTGGACTTGGAGTCCGAGTTGGTTCAAATGGATCATAAACAGTCTCTTTTTTCTCTTGATTTTGATCCGTGGAGGAAGTTTGTTTAGGTTTCTTAACAGCTGCATCTGATGAAGATTGATCATCACTTTTACTGTCATTGTTGTGCGGAAGTGATTTGACATTACTTTTACTTTGTTCCAACATAGGAGAAACGTCCTTTGCAATGACATGACTGGTCAACCAGTCATTAACAATATCCAACCTACCAGCCTCATCTGCTGCTTCAGAACAAGAACTTGTCCTCTGCTTTTTTACATTTTTTTCACAAGGTTCTGAAGGCTCTATTAGTTTTAAACCTTCCAACTCTACTGTCCTTTTAACCCCATTTTCCCTTTTTTCCACATTAGGCATGTTTACACCTTTAGGTTTAGTCTCAATATTATCAAATTTCATTTCTTTTTCTTTTTTTCCACTTCTATGTTTTACTTTCACAGTTTCAACATTTTTATTCTCCTGGTCCTGTTTTATGTTTTCTTTAGGTCTTTCTTTCTCTTTATCACCCTTCCTATGATCTCGATTTTTCTCAGTTTTAAATTCTGCCTTTTTAGCATCCTTCCTGTTCAAACTGTACTTCACTTCTAGTTTAGCTTCTACATGTAGTTTGGGTTTGCTTTCAGACTCTTTCCATTGTTCAGTCTCTTTTACATCCCCTCTTCTATCTTTCAAAACATTCCCCTTCCTTCTGTATCTTTCCTCTCTGCCATCTGAATGCAAAGGAGGACTCTTTCTGCGCATACTGTCCTGTGTTGTTTCAAACCTCAATCGCTCAGGTTCTTTATGAAAGAAAACTTCCCTTCGACCCTCACCCCACATCAAAGTTCGATCCACTCTCCACACATCACCATGTTGAACTTTGTACCTATCCCACTCCCTTTCTTTAAATTTCTCATCCCAGTATCTGACACTTTCTTGTCCTCTGTTATCTCCCCGCCACCTATCTTTTCGATATCTCTCAAGAGATGAGCTACGCATCGGTGATTCATGAAGTGGTGAAGCCTTAGAGATCTTTCTATCCCTCTCTCTACTCCTTTGTCTTCCACGACTGATACTCCTGTCCTCATCTCGTCTCCGTTCTCTAAACTTCTCAGCAGGAGTCAATTCTCGTCTGACTTTATCACGCCTATCTGTATTCCTTACACTGATTGTAATGTCTCTTTCTGTCCTTTCAACTTTACGGTATATCTTATCCCCATGATCATTTCTCCAGGATGCACTTTTTTCTTTAGAATAATCATCAGATTTCCTTCTTTTAAAACGATCAGAACTTTCAGAGCGAGGACGCTTATCTCTTTTGTCCTTTTTGTCTGAACTTTTTTCTCCACTTTTCTTTTTCTTATCAACTTTCTTTTTTTCCTTCCTTTCCTTGGGCTTATCCTTATCTTTTTTACTCTTTTTTGCACTTTTGGATTTGTTTTTATCAGAATCCCTGCTCTTGGCTCTGTTGACACTTGCATTTCCTTTGATTCTTGGAATCCGAGGAAGTTCACAGATAGGTATTTTGGGATTGGTAGACAGTTCCCATTGTCGATAGTTTGGAGAATCTGCATCATGGATTGTATTGTCTGCACCAAAGCTTTCACTATTTCTTTTCCTATTTAACTGTACAATTCTGCTGTCTTGTGTTCGCTCCCTGCCACGATATCTTGATTTGTCATGTCTAGTTTCAATAATTTCACCTTCTTCAGTATCATCACCGGTAGTTTCTTTTATTCCAGTCACTACATCAGTTGTCTTTGTGATAACCCATCTCACATCTCCATCATCCTCCATTTCACCCTCTTCTTTCCCATCTAATGCAGCATTCTTCTCAAAATCCTTTTGTTCAGGATCTTCAACTCTATCATTAACATCAGCACCACCCGTCTCCAGTACATCCTCCTCTTCCTCCCCGAGCTGACATTCATTTGAACTTTCACCAACCTCACTAATAGCCACCATGTCTTCCATATCGCTTGGCATCTGGAAATCCTCCGGTCCTTCAGCATTCTCATTATCAGTACTTCCATAGTCATCTCTGTGTTGGTCAACATCACCTAAACTGACTAGATTTTCTTCCTCATTATTTTCTACAGCATCAGCACCATTATCAAAGTTTTTATGGTTATTTCTGTGCAGGTCAACATCACCTAGACCTACCACATTTTCTATCCCCACATCCTTTACAGAATTATCATCAGCATTCTCATTATCAGTGCTTCCACTTTCATCTCTGTGTTGGTGAACATCACCTAGACTGACTATATTTTCTTCCTCCATATTACCTACAGCATTATCATCAGAATTCTCATTATCAGTGCTTCCATGGTCATCTCTGTGCTGATCAACATCACTTAGACTGACTATATTTTCTTCCTCCATATTACCTACAGCATTATCATCAGAATTCTCATTATCAGTGCTTCCATGGTCATCTCTGTGCTGATCAACATCACTTAGACTGACTATATTTTCTTCCTCCATATTACCTACAGCATTATCATCAGAATTCTCATTATCAGTGCTTCCATGATCATCTCTGTGCTGATCAACATCACCTAGACTGACTATATTTTCTTCCTCCATATTACCTACAGCATTATCATCAGAATTCTCATTATCAGTGCTTCCATGGTCATCTCTGTGCTGATCAACATCACTTAGACAGACTATATTTTCTTCCTCCATATTACCTACAGCATTATCGTCAGAATTCTCATTATCGGTGCTTCCATGGTCATCTCTGTGCTGATCAACATCACCTAGACTGACTATATTTTTATCCTCTGCATTCTCTACATCATTCTTATTATTTTCATCATCGAAAGCAAGCTCAGGGTCGGGTGTTTCATCTCTGTTTGATGCTTCTTGTTCTGACACATCACTACGTATGTCCATTATTAAACTATGTTCCTCATCACTTTCCATGACAAATGCACTGTAGTCTTTTTCATCATTGTCTAACCCATTATCACTATTACATAGTTCATTTCTATCATTATGATCCAATTCATTCTCCTTCCTTTCAGACTCTTTATCATAATTATCCAATTCTCCATCACTATTACCCAGTTCATTTTCACTTGCTTTGGAATCTTTTTCAGCATTATCAAATTGATCATCACTATTATTTATCAGTTCATTTGAGATGTCAAAATCATTTTTAGAAGTGTCCGACTGTTTTTCAATGTTATCAACTCTATTCTCACTCATTAGCTCATTAGCATTATCGGAATCGTTTTCATTTGCATTGGAATCATTTTCATCATTATCCAATATTTTCAGACTCTTGTCATTAAATTCATTTTTATCACAAATCAATTCTTTTTTACCAGTGTCTTCTTCCTCCCCACTGCTTACATCTTTAAACACAGCTTGGATGTTCATACCTTCATGATTATCTTTACTTTGAACCGTATCTGTATCCCAGTTCAACATTTCAAAAGTCTCTTGTACAGAATTGTCCATTGCCTGCATACCAGCTAAAATACTCTGTTTCAACTCATCTTCACTACTTTTGGTTTTCTTTTCTGCACTGTCTTTTGAGTGCATACTGCACTTATCAGTCCCTTCACTAATACTAAAATCCCCAGAATCCTTATTGTGTGTTTGAAGAACACTGCAACTTTCAATGTTTTGGGAAGTACTAGCTGACCAGTTACTGTTACTGACAATGGAATTGTTAATGTTTTTATTGTTATTACTTGACTGATTGTCACTACTATCAACATGACCTTGGGTGGATTCAGGTTCATTTCCACTAGGATCATCAACAGAATCACATGGTTTGTTGTCAGCAATGGTAAAATCCTGAGTATCATGTTTGATATGTTGATTCACTCGCGATGTGGGTTTCTTAAAACTCTCTGAAAACAGAAAGAAAAACAAATAAATAAAAGCTGTACTACATGCTATTCAGTTTGATCTACGATTACATAGCTCACCAATACTCAATTCTTCAGCTTAATGTTTGTAAAAAAGCATAGAAAGTCCTGGCAGAGAGCCTGTTGTCTTTTGTAGTTTTAGAAACGTTTGAATGAACAAAAATATACTATGCTTACTATGGCTGTGTTTTACTGTTTATCAATGAAAGGAGAGCCACCACAGCATCAAAATGCATCATCCTTACCTTTCTGCATGTGAGGTTTCAAAGAACCATCTCTACTTATAGTTATGTCACTACTAGACATATGTAACAATGTCTGTCCTTGTAAGATACCTCCTAGTACATCAATCACAGGAGGAACAACTGGTGCTTTCACTGCAGGAACAGCACTTTCCTCTCTAAAATGAAAACAGTAAGAGAAATGTAACATAAATAATTCTGAATATTTAATCTGTGGTTGAGGAACTGTCTACATTAAATAAATACAAATTACTGTACTTGAAGGTGGGAAATCCTACATATTATCTTGTAACCTATAACCCCTGAACAAGAACAGTCTACAAATAGAAATGAGTATACAATCAAGTTGTAAGTGGATAATATAACCTCTAACCTACCCATGCCTTCTTACTGGTCTTGCTATAGGTCGATGTGAACTCAAAGCTGTTCTTGAAAGTACTTTGCCTACTCGTCTTGCCCCAGCTGATTCCCTGGTGATACCAGTGCTTGTTGTGGGTTCAACGCTAAAAGAAATTAAGAATTAAATTAGGAAATAGACTGACAACACCTCATACAGTTGATAGATTGTATACATATGAGCATTACAAAAATGATGGAAATTGTATGACCTTTTCTCTCATTGTAACTTCAATAATAACCAGGCTCATAAATCACATAGTGTCAAGTGCATATTACATTTGTAGAGATTTTCAACTACCGGTATGACTGCTCATCACAAGAGAAATGATAATACTGAACAAACACTCAAAATATGGGGATTATGTCAAAAAATAGACTCACAAAGAATCTAGAAAGGAATCGTCTCCTGTCAATAAGAGTGAAGATACACCAATTTCACTTCGCTTGTAATCTAATGATCTATCTCGTTGTACTTTCACTACCGGCACTGTACTTCCAGTTTTAGGTTTAACAAGTCCCAGCCTGTTGGCAATTCTTCCCCGCACTGTCCTTGGCACGGCAGTTTTCACTTTACGTGACCTAGTAACTTTTCTTTTTGTTGTTTTACGTTTCTTTCGCCTTTTCCTTCTTTTTTTAGTGCCTGTTTTTCCTGTAGTTGTAGTTGTCGATTTCTTTGACTTCCCTTTTCTTTTTTTTGTGGTTTTTCTTCTCTTTTTGACTTTTCTTTTTTTGGTGGTAGTTCTCTTTCTTGGCTTAGTTTTTCTTTGAGGTGTACGTGATGTGGAAGGAGTTGAAGCAGAACTGCTTGCAGCAGTTGCTGTACTTGATTGTAATCTGTCATCAGCGGCTGTTCCTCTTCTGGAAGTACTGGCATTCTGTTGTGAAAAAAACAAAAACAAAATTGTTTTTTAGCAAGAGCAGTGCACAACTTGGGTACTACATGAATAGGCAGATTATGATGAATTTGAACAGGTCTTGGTTTTCATTATTCATATGTTTTTAAAAAAAGTTGAGTGTTTTGAATTATTTGTGATGTAACTCATACAGATTTAGCTCAGGTATAATAACTTATATAAGTGGGAGTCCATCAGGGTTGATGTCAATACTGATGACTAGATAGGCATGAAATTGCATCCACATTGACACAATATATTGTATTTGTATAGGACGACAGATAAAATTCAAAACCCAAAGTCTTGAAGTCAAAGGTATTATTTGTGAACAATAACAATACAACTGCCTTGTCTATTGTAATACGGAACCTTGTCAGCAGAAGTGACTCATTTTTTAGTTGCAATTTTATAATACCCATGTGTATTACATTGGGAATAGTAGCAATACATCAGGAGCTTTATAGATACTTTGTTATCAGGCTTTCATTGTAAAACTTATTTCACATGTAAATATTTAATTATCATTTTACACTAGATGTCATACAGGATTCAAAGTAAGTATGTCAGCATGTTACATTACATGATGTACACAATACTGTATTTCTTACTTACTTGATCTTGTCTTCGGGCTCTCTCTCTCGCTCTCTGTATGCTGGCTCTGACACGCTCACTGATACGAGTACGTGCAATAACACGGGTAGGCTGTGATCGCAATCGAGGCAAAGACAAATCTGGTGTTTGATCATCAAGTAAATTGGCAATTTCATCTTCATCACTGCTAATAACTACAGCAAGCTCTGTAACAAAAATGAAAACAGGTCACAATCATTTTAATAGCTTGGTTTCAGTGACGTTTAACATAGCTGCAAGAAGACAGGTATAGAAAACTTACCTTCAGTATTATCAGTAGCACATTCTGGGCAAAACCATTCTTCAACTGGGATATTACGTAGCGGTGGATCTAAGCATTCACAATGATAGCCTGCATCACATCCATCACAGAGAAGTAATCGATCTTCTCTGTCACATCTTCCGCACACCTTATAATACAATTTTATTATTAGTACAACTGATAAATGTCATGTACTAGTCCTGTAAACCACTTTGATTTCATGAGAAATAGGTTTCTAGAATCAGGGAAAAATATTGCTGTAGTAAACTTGTCACTGAGGTTTTTTAGTCTTCAGTCAGCGACCCTACCAAAATGTCAGTCACGCCTTAAATCATCAAGTCATGACAATTTTTAGCAATGAAAAATAAATGGTTTTATAGTGCAAATTAAAATATACAGTAATCCATTCAACTGAATTCATGAAGTTCTCACCTCGCAATATGTGGGTTCATCATCACCGTCGTCATCGTCTTCATTCTCTGGCTGTGTATGGTCATCAACTGCAATAGTCCTAACAACATCACTATGGTAAGAATGTCGAACCAGGATAGATCGAAAAATTTGTCTGTCTACTGGACATGTGTTAACATTCTGAGTGAAAAAAAAAAAGAATCAAAACTTGTTTAGTGAAGAACACTATAAGGGAAATCATCTCACCAGTTTGTAATCATTTGGTAATCATCTAGTCAAATTCTCCATTTACAATAGATTAGTAGTACTGGTAGAATTCAAAATAGATTTCACAGCAGTAACTAAGCTGTTGCGTCAAACTTGTAAGCTTGTAATCATTATTTGTATATTTCAGTGTGAGGTATGTCACAAGGCAGTTCGAACCAAATTTAAATTCTGCAGTACTGAGCATGTTACTGCACATGCAATACATTCATTGCATATAATGGAGAATTATTGTCACCTTGGAAACTCATTAAATTATTTGTCAATTTTTTGAAAAGTTTTCACAACATTTAGATTCATGTCAATAATAACATATTTTTTTTCCCATGTCACTGAGCAACATTTTAAGATATGGAGAAATAATCTCACCATAGAGACCAGTATAAAAATAACAATTTTGACTATTTTTCATGACATTTTGGACCCTTTTATCTCAAAACATTATCCAGTGACCCAATTACCTATAAAAAGAAGTATGATGAACATGACAATTTATTTCAAACTTCCTTAAGGTAAGGATACAGTATGATACAGTATGGTTAACTACAAGTGGTGTGGAAAGGTATGGTGTAAGGATTACCTTGGACCACTCAAGAATACACTCAAGACAGAATGTATGGTCACAGCTTTCAGGCGTCCCAACATCTTGTTCATCAAAACTATTCAAGCAAACAGGGCACTTTTCTTCCTCATCATTTGAACACTCATGTGCATCATCATCTTCTTCCTCCTCATCTACCACGTCCTCCTCCTCCTCCTCTGAACTACCCTCCTCATCAGATTCAATGTCTACAAGGCACAATGGATTCATAAATTAATATATTTTACAACAGACAGTAAGACTTAACAATGCAGCAGCAGAGAACAAGATACTTAATTTATATCATGTCAGTAACTAAACAGGTAATACATGGCAATCTACATAGATACACATGCACATAATGGGAACCATCAAGTATGTATTTCATAATAAATGTATAATGAATTTCAAACATTTTTGAAGTTGAATACATTCCCTGTTACTAATAATAACTACAATTTTAGCAGTAATATAAATTCTCACCTTCCCCAACATCATCACCTTCCTCTTCTCCGCAATCTTCTTCTCCTTCAATTACCTCATCATCATCATCGTCTTCCTCATCATCTTCATCCTTGTCATCACTATCTTCATCACTGTCTCCATCTTCACCTTATTAAAGGTTAAAATAAAATTTTTGATTTAAACAACAAATAGTTACATTGGACCAAGCAAAAATAATTCACAATAATACACTGAATGTCTTTTATATTGGGAAAAGGTTCCTTGTTGTAAGTGCCTATGTGTTTTTGAGTATTGACTAGACGTTTACCATATTTGCTATAATGCTTTTGTAAATTTCCCATCAAAGCAAAATGATAATGTAAGGTTTGTATACTTTCAAAAAGACCAAAACATACATTTATGAAATGTTTTTTAAAAAAAGGTTTGATAAAAGTTTTCTTGAACGGAAAGAGTTTCTGAACCCTAATACTCCAGCCCCCCAATGTAACTGTATATGCCCCTCATATAACTATATGTGTCCTGAAGAGGAACATATATAATTGAAATGGGAAGGGTATTGGAGGCGCAGGGCTAGGATTAGATTTATGGGTGAGGGGGCCGAAAGAAACTCTTATCTCTTGAACATATATATGTATATATAAATAATTATAAACTTGCCTTCATCATCATCTTCGTTGTCACTGTCATCTTCCTCCTCAGATGCAACTACTAAGTTTTCCTCTTCAAATTTCTGTTTTTTCACATATGCACTGGAATCACCACTATTCACTTTTTTGGACTCTTCTTCTGACTCTGAATCAGAATCACTTTTGAATGGAGCATCTTCTTCAATTTTTCGTTTCTTACCTCTCGGTGGAGCAGTATACTGTTCCTCTACATCAGCAGCGATAGCTAATTCTGATTGTTCAATAAATTCTTCTTTTTCGGCCATACTAAGAATAAGTCATGAAGATAGCCGTCACAACCTGTATCAGAAAAGTTAAGAAAATTATATGAATGTTGGAAATACATTGTACCAGTAATAATAAATATTGACAAGAAGCAAGAGCAATATATTTCAATAGCTTTGCATATTTAACATTATAAACTCATAATATCTCTGGGAGAAGATAAAAATGGTTGAACATAAAAAAAAAAATAAAGAAAAAAAAATAAAGCTCCAATTAAAAAAATTTTTTAAAAAAAATGCTGAGTGGGGCACTTTTTTTTTTAATTTCCCCACTGTAACAGAGTTTCCTGAAATACTCAATAAGTGCTGACTTGACAAAGATGTCCAATTTGTATATCTTAACTATTGTCCTGCTCAATAGTTCTCATTATTTTTTTATTTAGTTTTTGCTGATAAAGCAATACATCTGATGGCGCTTTTATATTGTTTAAAACAAGCTGCTTCATGTAAATAATATTATGCAGACTGGATTAATTTAAAAGTCAGAGCTGTTAAATAATAAGAATAAATGGTGAATTTAATGAATAATAGAATATGAGGCGATTACGAACTCGTATTCGAGTACGACATGTTATACAATAATCTGCATTTCAATGACATTTGTACACAATACAACCGTTGAAAAACGTCTAAAAATAATTCAAAACGTTACGGTACAAGATAAGGCTTGCATTTTGTGCTAGAATCATTTCACCAATCCTCTATTTTTTATTTAATTTGCTATAGACTGGCACAACGTAAGAAAGTGTAAGTTAAAGAGATCACGATTATTTATTATTAATCATTGTGGCTTGGTTCAGCATAAACAAATAAAACTGGACGTCGTGTATCGATACCATGGTTGTTCAAAATCAATTCCCTCGAAATAAAGAGAACATATATACATATATAAAGAACTAGATATTTCGGAGTACCGTGACATGCAGCACGACACATACGGCATCAATTTGTTTTCCAGCAGCAATGTTAAAATAAACCGCCGGGGTCATCGACACCACAGTGGAGAAACTAAATTTTACCGCGGTGTTAAGCGACGATGTGTCACGTACTGCGAGAAATGAGCAGTGTATTTCAATAAAGGGTGGTCACAATCGTTGATTTGTGTGCCCTTATCAGCGTTATGGTGTTGAAATGAAGGCAATTTTTCAAAAATTCTTACCTCAATTACTAAATTGCAGAGATGATAATATCCGCCATCTTGTTTGGCATACTCCCACAATACATTGCGATAACATTCCAAAGATACCGGAAGTGACTCTCGTCTTCGTCATTTTATTTTTTTTTGCAGCATGTTGTTATTTTGTTACCCAGTTTTTGTGTGACAACTTGAAGGGAAACATTAATCCATTGACTTTGATTGTACTAACAATGGACATTATGTTTTCGTTACTACATGATTGCAGTACTACAGAAAGGACATTTCTACGTTCAACAATGGAGCTTCAACCATGGACGTTCAACATATTGATTGGTTTATGGGTCGACTACTTAAAATCATGACGGGTGGGAGATTTGTTTAAAAATATGCAAGCTAGACACAGAGAAAGAGACAATGTCTGCAAGTTGTTGCAGGGGGAAATAGTGTATTAGATAAAACATCGCAAAAACACACACACACCCATGATTAAGGACGGTTAGCGCTCCTTGAAGCATGTAAACTGGCCAGTGCTTACATTGAATGTCGACCATTTGAGGTCATGGGAGTGGCTGAGATTGACTAAATTACTGTAGCCTACATAGGATAACATGAAATACCTTGGGCGAGATAAGCAAAGATATTTGATTATGATTTGAAATATTACATATGTATTAGCAAAATCAACCATGTATGTTTCTTCCATGTTTCAGCACAATAACAGAATGAATCTGAGAAGACTCCTCGATATTAGCAGTCAGTTAGCAACCTTGAATTTGCCACACCTCTATAATTCTGCCCTTTACATCAACAGATGCGACTCTTGAGATTTCCATGAATAAGCTAAAATTGGCTGATTATCATGCAAATTAATAATCACAGATTTCAACTCAACCCAAACCTAATCAGATGTGTGCATTGTCATTGTTGGATTTACATAGGGGCTACTAATAGAACAAATATGGTATTTATAATACACAGATTTATTGGGAAACTGCAATGAAAAGTGAGCACAACAGCTTACTTTGTGCACTGTTCTTGTCATATTGTTGTTTGTCCATGGCTGTAAGTGCTATCAGTTTCAACCACAATAGGAAAAGTGTATAATTATACAATGATAGAGAAGTGTAAAAATAATGACACTAGATTGTGTTTTTTTGCCACTAGGAATTTATTGTTGCTAATTGCACTGGAGGAATAAATAAGCAAAACTATAATCTGGAATTTTTTTTTTATAGAAAGTGATGTTAACAACATGATTCAAATCATACTGCATTCTATGTTAACTAGCATCATGTGTGAATTTTAGATATCATCAGTAGATATCGTATTTTCTAAATTCAAGTGTGTATCTATTTGTGATACATTTAATTATTTCTGAAAAATGAAATATAAAACAGGAAATGCATCACTCAAATATAAGCAATGATATCAATGTATTCTTATTTACATTTCAGTTGCTTCTTCTAATAAGATGCACAGTGACGTACAAAAGAGTTATTTTGAGTGATATGTCCATTGAGGGACGACGTCAAAAGATCGAAGTTGGATAAAAAACTTAATTCCTTCATTAAAAAATAAAATCGCTTTTGTAGGATGGAAACTTTTTGAGGTCAAGACCCCCCACCCCCAAACTAAAGCAAATAAGTTTTTTATTCGACATCAATCTTTTGACGTCGTCCCTAAAGAAAATAATATATCCACATTGTGAAATAATAGTGGCAATGACGGAAATACGTCGTCTTGTAATTTTCTGTGTCTGTAGGCGTGTTCCAGTTTAGTTAATTTATGAATCAGTTACATAGTTATCTGATACTTTCTCCTGTTTCACAACCTTGGCATTATCTATTCGCTATTCATACAATTTCCTCGCTGTTTGGTTTTATATAGAAATAAGAAAATATATAGTTTTACAGATGGAAGGCAATAGTATTAAATATAACAATAATAGTGAATGCTTTGGTACTAAGATTACAATCATTTGTAATAATCACTAAGAACAATAGAAATCGAACAGCGTTGTTTCAAGTGTAAAAGTAAGAGTATGATTAGAACAGCAGTGTTACCGTCCTCGCCCTCTTCCTCTACCCCTGCCACGCCCCCTACCTCTGCCACGCCCCCTTCCTCTACCCCTTCCCCCTCGCCCTCTAGAAGCAGATCTTGCATGTTGCGTCTCAATCAACGGTATAAAGATAGGATCACAGAACAAGCAGCCAGAGTGTTGAGTTTGATCACTGCCCAGAGGGTTCTTGGCCTGTTAAAGCAATAATTTATACAACTTGTAAAGTATTTCACAAATAATTCACAATTAACAGGATAGACAAATGGAATGTGTTGAAAATGGATTGGTGAAATTCAGTACATATACATGAAACACAAAATATAATATCACTGCAATGTATGTGATTTCTCCATGTAAAAGGTTTGTTAACTGTATATTACAGCAAGTCTCAGAAGTATTGGGGCAGCCAATTTGCAAACTTGCTAGCGAATTGGCCAACTGCATGGGTTTTGACTAAACAGTTGGGTTTCGGATCTCACTGGCGCTGTCTTGTGGTCATTCTGGGCAATCTATATAACAGCAGGGGACCGTCGTCATACTTTAGCAGCTAATCAGCCACAGTTAGATGACGATTTCGCTTTCAAATATACCAGGGAAAGTGTATGTGTAATGAGGTCGATTTTTTTAGCGGTTGGCTAATGTTACCCCGACGAATCATTTAGATGTGAAAGTTTGTCATTTTCTTCCTGATTTCTAGGAAACTGTTTATCAACGTGTCTCTTTATTTAGTTTCAGGCAGTGTTCAAGATGGCTACCCCCATATAGTAAATATCGGCGGATTAATCGCATTTATCATATTATCGCTTTACGCCAGCTGACTGTAGCCATTCTCTGGCTTACCAGGGAAACTTTTACATTATCACACCTTGTAACAAAGTAAATCATTCAGGGGAATCTAGACATGCTCCTACCAAGCTACGTAAAAGCATTCTATGTCTCCTAATGCAACTTAGACTAGCCCAGAGTGGACGCGGCCACGAGTCGGCGCCAACGGGATTCAAAAGCCAACTGTTTAGTCAAAACCCAAGCAGTTAGCCAATTCGCTAGTGAGTTTGCAAATTGGCTGCCCCAATACTTCTGAAACTTGCTGTAATTGGTCAAAAGACTTGATGTTAAAGCAATGTTTCAAATAAAAAATAGCAAAAATAAACAGTGTGCATACCTGCAAATAGTACATTTGTATGAAGCACCAAATAAAATGTTGTATTCTTAAAATCAGGTTTTCAATAACCAAATATTCATAGTTGTGATAATCATGACAACAAAATTAACACCAATATATTGATGCAATTCTCCTTACCTTATTAAAATCTACATTAATAATGTTGGAACCACAACTTTCACATGTGTCTTCTGTTGACACGGTAACACGATGGGCGTCCTCAAAGAGTTTCATTATCACATTACATCTATAAAGTGGAGAGAAAGTAAACTGAAAACACTTGCTTGACGTACTTGTCAGACAAAAGATGAGACGAAACGATAACATACAATTTTGGGCCATACAGACAGATTCAGATATTACTTTTAGTTTTTGATCAAAAGGTTTTCAATTATTTTTCACCATTTCACAGGTAGACTAGCAGACTGCAAAATTATTTTGTAGATGGTGTTGAAAGTTGACAATGGTGGTCCAAGGGTTAATAATGATAAATACATTCCACTTGCAACCATAATAATGGCAATATTACTCACTTATTACAAGCTACCTTCCACTTGGGTGCCGATGTAGGATCTAGCACCAGGATTCCATCTTCACACTCAAAACATTGAGCTAGGCCTAATAAATTCACAGAGTGTTGACAGGTGGGATGTGTACACTCATTACAACCCATGCCTTTACGCATCCCTTGAAATGCTGGATGACTGAAACAGTATGGACATAGCGGATAACTCTGCAAAAAAACATGAGTAGCGATGTAACAAGGGCAATATTTAGGTAAATACTTGTATATAATGACAACACAGCATAAAATACATCATAAATGAAGTAAAGGTGCATATTGTAGACAAAATAGTGTTTTCATAGCATTTCAAGCACGAGGGTGTGCGAGATTACATGTCCCCAAATGCACCAAAACCTAATAAATGCGAGTCCAAATGCACACAAGGTTTTACCCATACTGAAGTAAATTTAAGTGCCATACATACTTTTCCTTTAGATCCAGTAGAGAATAAAACCATTTCAAAATCATCTAAAGGACACTTGAGTTCTTGGTATAGTTTAATTGTACCATTCATTGGTAGACTGTACGTTTCATCACAGTTAGAACAATGTAATCTACTGGGCTTAGCTTGGATATACTTCATATATCTTCTACATTTGCCACACCTACAAAGTATACCATCATTAATATTTAAGAATTATGAAAGACGTACACATTTTGACATGGGAGTTTTTCAAGTTGTTCCATTCTAAACCCCAGTTGTAATTATTCTGACTACATTTCAGTTCAAAACAGCCACCCGAGTATGGGGGAAATTACTATTGTCATCGTTTTCATGCAAATAAGTTTAGCTGCCCTCACACAATTTTTTTTTGAACCTTTCTCTCAATACCTGTTGTGTTTTTAAATTCTCTAATTCTAATTCTAAATTAAATTTAAATTAAGTTGTTTTTACAGCAATAAAATAATTTTATATGAGAAATAAAATGTAAACAGTGGCATCTACTGGCCTTCATGAGTACACAACAGTTACATGCAAATCAAATAAAAAATATTCAAATTACACATTCACTAAAATAAAATTTATCAGACAGATGTTTAAATATTGGTTGAGATTTCACAATATGCCTGAAAACAGACCATAAATGATGCATACAGATTGGCAATCAATATGGATAACTCAGACAATCAAAATTGGGTCTATTGTATTAAATTATTAATCATGCAAATTATATATATGTAAATTAAATATTTAATAAGCAAATGACCTACCTAGATAAAGGTTTACCACTTGCAGCCAAAGGAGAGAAAGACACTTCAAACAATTCATCCATGCCATTGATCTGAGTTACAAAATATTGAAATTTCCTGGTAAAGATATCTACAGTATGTTTCAGTACAGTATTAAAGTCAACTTTCCCAACCGCTATCAGGTTTAACTGCTCTTCTACAGCAGACCTCATACTGGGCAGGGATAGATCAGGGTCAATCTGTAAGATAAACATTGGAGGACTTAATTATCAATGACATACATTTAATAATTTATTTATTTAGGAAGGCAAGTGTTCTACAATAATTATCAAAGTTTAGCAAAGATGAAGTATAGAATAATATGAGGTTATTACGAGGATACCTCAAAGTATACACAAATACAGTTCGCATTTGAAACAGCAGGCTATAAGTGCTGCAGAGGATGGTGAAGCCGAGGGGTGTTCCAGCTGTTATGCAAATGAGTGTTGTCAGTTGCAAACCCAAAACGGGGGGGGGGGGGGGGGGGGTTGCATGACACGATTGGTTGAAATACTCGTCTCATTTGCATAAATTAATATTCATGAGCAATGAAAAACTCATCTTTTTTAGTAAAATTGTGCCAAAATGCTTTCCGATAGCATACATGTTAGTTCTAAATTGATTGATTCTATCGTTACGAGCTGAAAAAATAATCGGAAAAATGATGTAAAGGTAAT